ATACACAATGGCACACAGTAAAATGAAATTCCAATGCACCGCTCTTGAAATAAGGGGGGAACCACCACCCACCAAACAATATCGCTATCCCAAGACTATAATAATAATAATTACAATAACAGCAGCAGCAGCCCCAAAATGCCAAATTATACAAAAATGACACTAACACAGATAGATAGATAGATAGATAGATAGATAGATAGATAGATAGATAGATAGATAGATAGACAGACAGACAGACAGACAGACAGACAGATCACAGTCCATTTAAAATGCATAGTAGAAAAAAGAGTCTTGAGAATTTACAAGGTTGATACTATATGGTACAAAGCTATTACAGAATCTAGTTGTTCTGCTTCAGATACCACAAAGCCTCCTTCCAGAAGGTAACAAAGAAAACCAATCATGGAGAGAATGTGTAAACTCCCTGCCAATATTACAGGCCCTGGTCAAGCAGCACTTATGTGCCATGTCTTGCATAGAAGGAAGTGAACATGTGAAAGCAAGCATCAAAGTTTTAAGAATTTAGGTACAAGAGGCTGCTGCATCCAGAGCTTTTTTTCCTTCTTTGAAATCATTGCAGGAAAAATATCTGCAAACAATCTGTCAGTGATGTTTTTCTGCCTTAGAGATATGTTCAGTAGCTGCCAATGTCACTGAATGCCAGCAGCAGTGAACAAAATGCAGCCTGGATTGAAAACAGTTAAGCCCAAAAACATGACTGGTACAATTTATTAAGAGAAAGTTACAAAAGAAAGCCAATGAGTCCTCTCCTGCACAGGAGAAGCCTATATATATGAAAATTAGGGCAGGAAAGTTCTGCTTTTTTTTTTTCCTGTGCTGTGTAAAAGGAAGGGCACATAGCCTTTTTTTATGAAGGAGTAACTTGGGTAGACTGCACCTATTGTTTGTTTTGGAAATAGCTACTTCGATCTGGGAATTGGCTATCACCAATAGTTGGTACAGCTGGGCAAATGTGCCAGCATTGACTGAGCTGTGAATATTTGAATAACAGATTTAACTGGAAGAGTTGTTTCTGTTAAATTGGTCCTCTCTAACTCCATAGCTACAGTAATTGGATTTAGATGTTTAGTTGACTTGTTAATCCTACTCAAGTCCCAGTTCATCATGCTGCACAAGCATAGCTATTAAACTAAATGTAAGTTGCATTTTAAGCAGAAAAGACAATGCATTGGATTCTTACTCTTTACGCCCTGCTTCTCTCCAAAGTGCATAGAGCCTCATTTCAAATGTCAAGGTTTTGAGCATACATGTCAAGATAAAAGAAAAATACCTGAAAGAAACTATGACACATTTCCAAGCTAGGATTACATACTAAAAATCATGTTAAATTCATAGTCATGCAAAATTAATAATTTGATTTTAAGTAACAAAATTGCTTCAAAGAAACAAAAAAATCAACTAATCAGCAGAGCTGGAGAAAAGTATATATTTTAAACACAGAATATGTAGATAAGCCATAAAGAGCCAGCTAGTCTGGTTCAAAATAGCCTGGTGCATATGAGCAACAAAGAAATTTATAGTTAAGCAAAGCTTAGGATGTTTTTTTTAAACTCCAATGTTTGATATGTCTTTGAAACATCCTATTAATAAAGGAAAATTTGTCCTACAAATTTGCAGGATTTTACTTTATTTTAACTGGAGGAGATGGATTGATTTTTCAAAAAATCCAATTTGTCAGGTTCTGTGTGAAGCTGTACCTCACAATTGGGATATATCTATTATCTCCTTTCCACTTTAAATCTATCACATAATGGACTTTTTCCAATACTGGGGGACGGGAAGCTTAATCCTCTAAAATCAACTTTTCAAATGCTATTGTTCTGATGGTTCTCTGACTGTAATAGCTCTGAGGCAGACAACTGCCAAAAAGAAAAAAAATCTACTTCTGTTTCAACTCTCAGCCAATCGATATTTGAAACAAATTAAAAACTTCAATTGAATTAATAGAAAGAATTCAGAAGTCAGTTTTAGTCTATTATGAATTATTGAATAAATCTTTCATTACCAAAAATTTTCACTAACCCATCTTCAAAACTGACTCTATTAGCCTTTGTAAAGAATTTTTTTTAAAAAAAAAAAGACTCATCTTAAATGTAATTTAACAATATAACAGCAAAACTTAAATAGGTAATTCACTGGTGAACATTGCTCTGTTTCTTTTCAGATTTGCTAGGAAAAAATATTGCTTTCAGATCCATCTGTAAACATTTAAGGTACACAAAAAATGGAAGATGCACCCCAAACTCTCTCTGCATCATCTTCCTTCTGGCACCTTCCTCCTAGTATGTTGGAAAGGAGCGGGTCTGGTTGCTTAGCAACTGTAGGTTCCATTTTCCCTACTATCTTCCCTTAAGATGAACAGGAGGAGAAAAAGCACCTAGAGGGGAAATGTTGAAAAACCTATTGACAGTAGAAATCAAAGAAAAACAATCTTTTGCCAACACCTCTTTCATAAATCATCTTAAGGGTGACACTGTTGCTTTCCATAAAGTTAGACAATTTGCATATAGGATGGAGTGTGTGACTTCACTAAATATATTTTCGATCTGATGGCCGAACCTTCAAACAGAAAGTCTAAGGCCTTTTTTTTAAATTGTTAGCCTGGAAAAAACACCTACGGTATGCTTAGATATTTTACTCAAGTTTGTGGTGGTAGCAATGTTTACCCATAACTGGCTCACTGTTGATCCTGGATTTGGGAATACAGAAAAGCAGTTTGAAGCAATTGACTGAAAGAAGACAATTTAAAGCTTATTTCTGTATGGCCTTTTTATTTATTGAGAACCCATAATCCTGGCTTTTTATGCAAGCAGGGCAGGTAGGTAAATAGATGCCCAGTGTTTCTGAACAAGCTTCTCTGCTATTTACATCATGATACGTCTTTTGTAGACTACCTGAAACAATATGGATTGTTCATCATTTATTATTTTCAAGCAGCTGTTTCTCTGTATGGGATTCAGAAATGCAAGGTGCGTATTAGCAGCAAAGAATATATTTCTGACCCATTAAATATAATGTAGAAGTTAATAGATGCACAGGACAGAGAATAAGACTGCATGAGTGCTAAAATTCTCTCCATCCACTTTCATCATAGTCAACTGAAAAGTTAGGTGGCCAGGAAGGGTGTGTGCAACTGTCCTAGCTTCTCAGAGGATGGGGAAATAAACTTGTTGTCAAAGGTTCATCCAGGGTCAGAGGATGCTGGCAGGATTGCAGTTTCGCAAGAAATCACCCTGAGCTTTATTTCATCAGATATCAGTGCTGCAAAATAAAAACTTGAGGAGACACAAAAGGAGAAAGTATCTACCATACACAGATTAATAAGGGAAAGCAATTTTGGGGGGTACCATTATTTAGAACCTTATTCCTTTGAATGTGGAAATCTGCTAATCCTAAAGTGCCATTTGTGTTCCATCTATCTGAAATGAACATAGGGGCGATGTTAGCAACAACCATAATTCAAACCAGAGTTTGAATTATGAATTTCTGATTCATATAAAATAGCTTTCATGATCAATACCAGATAATGGTTTAAAGGGGAATATGGAAACTCTGAAATCTCTTTAGGAAAATATTTGGCATTCTCTATGAAAACATTAAAACTAGAGTAGGGAGAACCAACTGCTTAAGACATTGTCAGTTGAAATTAAGGTAATAATAAAATAACCCATAGATGACATTATGAATTAATCCTGCTTCATTTGTTCAGTCAGGGAAAGGCATATAATGGTATTTGACTTCTCACGTAGTGGATTGGCTCAGTAATCCCACATTTTTGACTAAACACATTTGAAATAATCTCAGAAACTGCAGTTTACAATATTAAACTCCAACTTTGATTAGTGCCTTTAATTATTTTTGATGAATCAACAAACCATATCTATTTTTTTTAAATGATTCTATTCTGGCAATGTGCAATCAGGAGGGGGGATATTTTTTTAATTTGTAAATTGTAATAACAAATGGGAAGATAGAGACAGATCTCATCATTAAGATTGGCCTTCAAAGGATCATCATATACTGATTTCAAATACATTCAAGCAAATACATTAAAAAGTTATTCAAAGTTAATAGAAAACAGACACCTTTTCAGAAACTTGCTCTTTATTTGACAAAATAGAAACCCACCCACCAATTTAACCCACCAACTTATTATGAATCTTTGGGGGGAAATTTATTATGCTGATAGTCTAGATGTGAAAAACAAATGGAAAAGTCAGAGCATGGAACATGATTTTTAATTGTTGTTGTTATTTAACTTGTAAAAATATTTTAGGGTTATTTTTTATCACTAGATATTATTGTATTCAGTACTATTTTAAGCTGTATACTGGAATCTTACCAAATGTGCAGACTCCTAGAATTACCTGCTTTATCATTGCTGATTTAGAACAAACTCAGATAAGTGGAAGATACAAATATTGGGGAAAGCTATCTTAAACATTAATTAGGGAATTCCCCTCCCATTTAACATCGGGGGCTATATTTTTGTGAGGATGAAAAGGACTGGATCTTTCTGGGTCTTATTCAACAGCCCTCTTTTAAGTATGATTTTATCTGTTCTTAATTCTACCAAGGATCAGGGCTAGATGTGAGTCATCTATATATAATTATGAAGGAGTCTGGATCACCATGTTCACATACTAAATGTTATTCCTGAAAATTTAACAATAAACAAAGAATCATCACACTTCTAATCATTAAACTGATTGATAAAGACACATTCTTATTAAATCCAAGACCTTCCGCTTGAGTTCCTTATTCCCAAGTCCCTGGACATTTAATTTTTCCAAATACATATGATTTTTTTGTTCTTCAGACTAATGAAGCTTACAATAATTTGAACTAACTTCTCTTTAAACATCTACTGAACAATCTGGAGATAGTGACTTCATAATTCATGACATCACGGAATTGGCTGTGATAAAAAAAATACCTCATTACTGAGTTAAGCAGGATTAGGTTAGGCTAAAGGAGAAAGATAGCACAGTTCCTGGGGATAATTCAGTGTGGCTGGCTGAGAAGACCAACAACAGTAAAAAAATAACCCACGGTAAGAGGGCCTGATGCCCTTTAATCTGGATGAAAGTTTATTAGCTTTCATCATGATATTCAAATGTGTGTTATATAAAGTTTTCTAAAGATCTACTTAGGTTGATAATGAAAATTAGACAATGGAATAAAGAAAACAGATGTTTTCTGTCAGATGAAGACTTTTTCCATCAAAGATGCTTCAACCAACTGACTTGCACTTGAGCTAACCGTGAGGAGACACCTTGGGAACTATTTAATTTTTTAAATGTATATTGTGTTTTAGAAGATACAGAAGAGTATCACTTAATCCATCACTTATCAAAGAGTATTGGTGTTAATTAAGATAATATATCACCTTGGCATGACCAAATATTATATTTTCAAGCATTTGACAAAAAAACACACTGTATTAGAAAGCATCAAAATAGCATTAAGAGATATGTTGATGTTTTCTGCAATTTGTAAATCTGGTGAGCATAAAATATTCTATGAAACTACATCAGGGAAATATAAACAAAGAAGCATTCTTTATTCTGCCCCATCACCTTGAAGCTGATTGTCGTGTTCTTGTCTTTTGTTCTACCTTTCCCAGTCCTAAAACCTTTTCCAAAGAGCTAAGCCCTAACATAATGTGTGCAAAGTAGGATAATTTTAACTTTATTGTTTATGCCTCAAATACGAACTCTGGGCTAATTTTTTTTTTTTCATGTACCCAATTGCAATTAGGAATGGCTATTTGTAAGCAAGACTATGATATGCATAACAATGGAAAAATACTGAAATATCCTCAAGGGAATATTGGATTGCGAAGGTGGTAAATTTGCAGAAATTGCAAAAATTGAGCTGTTTGATCAGGGATAAAACAACAAGTATTGTATAAAAGACTAGAAACCCTTTATAAACTTTTTTTCTGAAAACAGAAAAAAAAATAAAGTGCCGTTTCTGAATTTGCTGATTTAAAAAGGTTGAATCTGGCAGGGTTCCAAATCCCCAGGCTATGGGCCAGTACTATGGCGTGTTAGGAACCAGGTCGTGCAAGTGAATGAAGCTTCATCTGCTCATGGCCAGGATCTAGGTAGCACGTGAAATCATCTCCTTCTTTCCTCCCCCCTGGGGTCTATGGAAAAATTGTCTTCCATGAAACCGGTCCCTAGTGCCAAAAAGGATGGGATCACTGGAATATGGAATAGAAAGGAACTATGCAATGTAATTTTAAAAAGGGAAGAGGGAATACTAAGTTTGTGAATGCTGTAAAGATCAGAAGCAATTTCTTTCATTATCTTTTTTTCTATTCTTTGGCCTTAGTTTTTATTTATTTTTTTGAACTTTTTAATATATTTTCATGTTTATTTTTACTTGTGAATTTTAATATATATTAAATTTAAAATATATTTCATTTAATATATTATTAAAAATGAATGGCCATATGTGCAGTATAAAAATTTTTTTTGCTCCAAACAAAATCCAGAGAGAATTAATTTTCAAAATCCAGGACTAAAAACTATGCTAAAAAGGAAATTCTTTGTATCACTTTATAACTGCCAGAAATAATTTTAATAGGGTGATTGGAGACAGTAATTAAAAGAAATTATCTAATACTTGTTCTAAAAAAAATAAAATGTGATGGACAGATGAGGGAATGATAAGGCAATCCAACCATCATCCCTTCTATCAAATTTCTTTTCTCAAACTAAGTTGTACTCCCTATTCTCCATTTCATTTTATTCTTATTCACAGAATAACTGTTGTTTTTACACAATATTAATGATACTGCTTATTTTGTATTTCTGGACTTAAAAAGGCTTTCAGCTCCCTTTTTCCAGATAGCAATTTCTGCATTGCTCCATCATACTTAACTTCTACACCTGCCATCTGGTATAGAAGGGATTTTGATGGGACTTTGTTCCTAAACACACCATTTGCCACTGGTCTGCTCATAATGACAATGATTTCAAGTCATTTTTCCCCATCATTTATTCTTCCTATTTCTGTTTCTTTTTCTGTCATGTATTCTGCTGGTATGTCTGTGATAGTCTACTCATGATTAGCTAACTTACGGTACTCTCTTGGCTGCTATTCAATTCTTTCAATTTATTAGTAATACAATTTGGAAAGTTGTTTCATTGGCTCATAAGGATTTCATTAGCATCTGAGCCCAGTAAGTGACCTGTAATCACTTGACCCGCAGATTATAAAAGTCTGGAAGTTTCAAACTTTCCCTTGCTTATAGACCCTGGCCCCACTTTCCTGCCTCAGGTATAGCTACTGCTACCAATTATCTTCAAAGAAGCACCTCCCCAACTCTGACTAAATCTCAAAGGTAACATACAGGTAGTTCTCAAGTTACAACCGTAAATGAGTTTGCCAATTATGGTTGTAAGTCAAAACAATCGCAAAATGGTAAGATGACCAACTTTTTTACAATGAAAAGGAGGACACAAATAAATTGAAGAAAAAAATATCGTAAATAAAAGAAACATTTTATTCATTGCAACAATAATACAGACAACTTGCATGTGCAAAGTTTGCCAGCCGGGTGTTTTGGCGCACTCAGCAGCAATTCCTATTGGCTTTTGAAAGCCAATAGCAGGAGTAGCACAGCTCATGCAAAAGTTGAAAAAAGAAACCATCAAAAAAAGGTGCCGGAGTGCCATTTTGAGCATTCTATGAGGGGGAAAAAAAGCCCTGCAGATTAGTCTTCAATTATCAAAAAGGAGGACATGAAGGAGGACACTTTTTGAGGGAGGAGAGAACTTACAAAAGGAGGACTGTCCTCCCTAAAGGAGGATGGTTGGTCACCTTAAAAATGGGTCACTATGTGACCAGACCTGATTTTACAACATTTCTCGTGCAGTGATCATTAAGCAAACACAACAGTCATTAAGCAAATGTAGCTGTTAAGCAAATCCATTGTTCACTGTGGCCCAGTTTTTGCCAGAAACCAAAAGTAAACACTGGTTTCCAGCAAAACTGTCCAGAATCATGGTCACCTGACTGTGGGGTGCTGTAAATGGCCATAAATGTGGGCCATTTGCTGAGCACCCAAAATGCAGTCACATGGTCATGGGGAGGCTAACATCAGAACTTCAAACTTGGGTCATAACTTGGAGGGGATAATAACTTTGAAGGGTTACCAAGACACTGGTTGTAAATTGAGGATTGCCTGTCTATGAAACTCAATTTAGAAAAAAAAATCAATGTTCTCAGCAGCCCACAGAATGGTGCTGAAGTCTATGATTAATGAATGAGATGTCTGTTTCCAAATTAGATTTCAACTTACAAGAAGTTATTAAAGAGAAAAATAAATCTCCTGGAAAACTAACCAAAATTGCACTGAATGTGCAGAGGGAAAAAATAGCAAGAAACTAAAAGGCCTAACTATCTCACATAGACAAAAAAGATACAATTTAATGCCACTTCTGATTAAAACGCTTAGCTATTCTTTAGAAACAGAGAGCAAGTCTGGTGTGTTGGTTAAGGCATCAGACTAGAAACCAGGAGACAGATTTCATCCTGCCTTAGGCACAAAGCCGGTGGGTGACTCTGGGCCAGTCACTCTCTCTCAGTCCTAGTAAGGAAGTAACTTCCAAAAATTTTTGCAAAAAAAACCACAAGAACTAGTCCAGATAGTCACCAGGAATCAACACTGGCTAGAAGACACCCACACAAACAAACAAAATCCTCAGAGATAACCTGAATTCCAGCACAAAATTGTCTGCTTCTTTTCTTCGGGCCTTCCCAAATTCTTGGAGTAATCCTAACTGTTCATCAGAGCTATTGGGAAAGTGATACCCTCTATTTATTTTCTTAGCTCAGGTACAATATCTTCTTGCTCTGTTATTCCAGGATTCTGTTCCCTATAATTCCATCCCCCTTTTTTAAAAAAAGAAAGATTAAACAGAAAACCTGTCAAGGAGGGGTGGATAGACTAAATCTCCCAAGTCTATGAGCTAAAAGTCATGCTAGAGACAGGATAATTATTGAGCACATAAACTGTTTCTCATTTAGACTAGATAAATGTCTGGTCTAAAGACATTGTGAATGCAAGCTGGCTATTCACAACCAAATTAATGTCATGCAGTTTCTGGGATATAAAACCCATCAGAATGTTTACATAAGGTAAGTGCAAAACCCCTTAGCTAATATATTCTACTCAGGTTGAGCCAAATCCTGTCTATGCTAGACCGGTTCAGTCAGATTAAATCCAGTAACAGTACATTGTAATAACTACATCATATACAGCAATGTTATATTGGTTTTGTTGATTGCTTTCCTCTGACAGATTGATTGAAAAGTAAAATTCTAGTGTTCTTGCTACTACTTGTGAATTATAGCAAGCCCTCTATTGAGTAAGCTGAATACAAAAACACATTCCTGTCCCTTTCTGCTTTCAATAATATTGAGTAAAATATATCCATTACAGAAGGTTTCTGGCACCATTCTTATCAATAGGCCATGGCATAATTTGACTGAGCATGCTTCAAGGCACAATTGTAGTCTGAAAGATGACATTTGCATAGCATATAGTTTTTGCTGTCAACTTCAATCTATTTGTCTCAATGAAAACTAAATTGATAGTTTGGACCTTCTATAATAGCCCAGGGATATGTGTTCAGGTTTCAAGTTATTTTAGAAAGGCTTCTAACACAACTGGGATGAAGATGCAAACATCACTCCTAGCATCCTAGAAGAATTTTTAAAAATAATTAGGGCGAACTTGTACCTAAAAACTAACATGGTAGCTCATCTCTCTCAATTTACTTTCTCTTTTGGGTCCATCACAGATATGCAGCTTCCTTTTCACTCTTTCCAGCTTCAAAAAAAGGAAATAAATATTTTCACAGCTATGGAATCTTGTTAAAGAGACAGGTGGGGTGAAGTTTCCTCAGCATCATTTTACAAACTACATTTGTATCTCCAGTCTGGAAGCAGAAAAACTTATATGTTTGTATGTGTCTGTATTACTATTAACTCTTATATAGCACATATCAGGTTTGTTTTTTATTGTTTTTAGCCGGA